CTTTGCATCTTCTTATCCCCAATGAATGGAGTTCTTTGCCTAACAAGCAATCCAGTGGCTCGTGAGTCCTAAAGCCAATTTTGCCTAAATGTGCATGTATTTAGTGCGTATTGCACTTAAGGGTATAAAGATAATTTTGTTTTTTTTTTTTTTTGGGTAATTCCTCTTGACGAAATATTGGGTAAAAAAGGTTTTTTAGTCCTTTAACTGACCCATTTTCTTTATTATGGTCCCAGTAAATGTCCATTTTTGGAAATAGCCCTATTGCTGAGAAAAAAAAATAGCTTTTTAGTCCTATGGTGCTTGTACTAGGTCAGGCTCTACTACATGTAAATTTCATTTATTTATTTATTTTTGCTGAGGTTGCAGAATTACAGCCTACGTATAATTTCATTTAATTTTTTTTCTTTTTTGCTTACGTGGCGGTTAGGTGGCGGAATAATAAAAAAAATGACCAAAACTAGGATTCACACACTTGACCTCTTACAACAAAAGAGGGACATTAGCCACTTGGTCTACAACATCTTATATGGAATACATGATTTCAATTATATATCAATTAATATCATTTTATCCAAAATAATAATAATAATAATAATAATAATAACAATAATAATAATAATAATAACTAAATTTATATCACTTTTAATTATAAAACTTATAAATAATCTATTTATTAAATATGTAATAATTACGAAAGTAAAATCTGTAAATTAAATAAATAAGTTAGTAATATTATATTGTTTAATTACCTTATTTTAGTAAACTTTTACTATCAATTTATGTTGTTTTTATACTAATTTCATTTATTTAATTTTAATTAAATTTTAATAATATATTAAATAAATATGTACTAAATAAATAAATATATTAAATTTTAATTATACGTTTTATTGAATCCTATATTATATGTTCTGTTGTTTACAATTTACTAATATTAATATTTATGTATTTGTACAAAATATAGTAAATAATAAATAATAAAATAAAATAGAATTAAATAAAATATATAAATTATAAAAAATAATATAATATAATATTTTTTTATTTGTTAATTATATTTATTTTTAGTTCGTAATTAATATATATTTAAAATAATAAGTATAATCAAAATAATAAATTAAATGAATTTAAATCATAAATAAAATAGAATTAGGTAATTGTATTTCAAATAAATACCATAATGTAAAAAGAAATAGAACAAAAAATTTGATACATATTATTTATTTATTTTATTTACTATATTTTATATTGAATATGTATTTAATAAATAAATTATTTAACTATCTCGGGTTTCACTTCATCCTCGATCATCACAAGACAAGTCCCTTAGTACCCAGTTTGCTATGACAGCGAGCCTGGCCTTCCCGTCCACCACAAGTGGTGGGAGAGCATCTTCTAGAAGACTATTCTCTGAGATGGTTTGGAGAAGATACTTTTACTCCCAGTTCGTCCATTTGTGGTCGAGCCTATCTCTACGGTTCCTCCTGCCACAGAGGTCATTCCTACCAACATGATTGTGGCCGCCACTGGGCCTTCCGCTGATTAAACTCTTGAGGAGGTTGCAACAGAATCTTCTAAGGCTGTCAACAACTCGACCGCTCCCCAGTAGCTTACCACGATTTGTTGTATTATATTTAGTACTTCGAAGAAAATTGTACTCTGTTTATCGTTTTTCTTTGTTTTGTAATGAAAATTAGCTTTTCCTTCTATTTGTGTTGTTTCTGTACTTAACATTTTTTCGCTAATTAATTATACAATCTTGAATAGGGTGACCTCAACTTGAAACTTTTTTGATGTTTGGAATGCGATCAACATTGGTACAAACCTCATTCCACTGACCTGCCTCTGAGGTTTTAAAAATTTCAAATTTTACGCTTATTAAATTTCTCATATGATAAATTTACATGTATCCACCAAGGCGTCATCTTAACACCATCGATATTCCTCTGAGGTCTATTAAAGTCTTCAATGCATGAGGTCTAATTACTTCATTCCAAACTTAGAAAATTTCGTCAATTAGAGTTCGTTTGTCCGATAGATCACTTGTTGGTTTATCATTGTAGTTTATAACTATGTACATTATAAACAATATTTTAGTTAATAATTTAAATGGATAGTTAGACAGATGAACCGTTGGGTTGCCATCATAATTTGTAATAATATATTATAAATATTTAGATTTTTGTTTATAAACTAGTAATTTGCATGTCCGTTCGACAAATGACTCATTGATTTATTATAATTCGAAACAATATAAAGTATAGACATTTTATTCCTTATAATCTAATAACATATTTGATAGTTCGGAAAATGACAATGTGGTTAATCATTTTAATATCGTATATACATGATCCTAGAAGTAATTGTTTACTTATACTTTTTGTAGCATTAATTTTTTAAATCCATTAAGGATAAACATATAATATACTATTTTGGATTATTTTATACTAAACATATTTTAATATGAATACTTCTATATTCTATCGTATGAATAAAAGATCGCAGTGATTTGTTATTAAAGTTAATAAATAAAATTCTATTGTAGTATTGTGATAAATATCATAATAAAATTTCCTTAATTAATTTTCAATTTTTATTGTGTAATTATAATTGAAATTTTATTATGCATATTCAAATGATATTTTCTACAAACTAAACCTATTTAATAGTTGCTTTTTTGAATATATATTGTTTTGTTACCAAAAGAACTAGTGCAACATCCGTGTACTACACGGGTATTGAATTGAGAAATATTTACATCAAAATATTTAAAGATAAACATAAAATTTTTATTTTAATTTGTCGAAACTTTTAAAATTGCAATATTAGTTTTAAATGACGCTAAGTGTTATACATTAAAATAATAATTTTTAATCACATTATTTTTTCAAAGTTTAAGGAAATAATTTAGTACCATTTGCAATAATCAAAACAAATTATGTAAAATAAGATACAATTAATTGCTAATTACCTATATACAATTAATAAACAACATGCTAATGCTAAAGATCATACAAAATCTCGTTCGAAGAAAATAAACAAATTGACATCCCCTTTATATATTAATTCAAAATGCGTTGAGTCTAAGTGGCAGACTTGCACGCTTTGAAATCCTACATGTCACGAAATCATGTTTTGTATTTAGGTTCGGAAAAAAAATTGAAAAAAAAAATTGGCTTGGAAAGTGGCACAAATAATTTTTCCACCATACATTATTGTCTTCCATCAATCTCTCTTCCATTACCAAATTTATCTTTAGTTTAAAGATCAGAAATCTTTCTTTCCTTATCTCATTTTACTAAAGATTTGTCACATTCATCATTTTTTTTTCAAGTTGATAAGTTTTAGACCATTTTTAAGTTTGTCTTTGTTTGCATAATGTATAATGAATAACTAATATTATATATTATAATTATATGATAATCAATATAATTAATGAAATCTTAACTAAACATGTCCCTTATCGTAATTCTCATCAATTTTAGTCCTTATTTTATTTTTCCATGTTGATAAATTTTAGCACGTCCATCATATTTTTTTTTTTTTCCATGTTGATAAATTTAAAGCAGAACTAATAATGTTAAGTACAAAGAATTTTTTTGAGAATTAAAATAAAATAAAAATGTACAGTAGTTTTTGTTTTATGAAACTTCCATTTATTTTTATTTTTTTTTGTATATGCTTACAATAACTAAACTCTTTAACTTTTTTTGTTCAAATTATTTTTTCGTGCACCCGTGTAGTACACGAGTGTTGTACTAGTGTATGTTTATAGGCAAATACAATATTCTAAATAGCGTATTGTACCAACTGGTATTGACTGTAATATTGGATACAATTGATCGGCGGGTAGAGTAACCCTCTAAATGCCAATTTGGCAAAAATACCACTTACACCAGTTTCATAGCAAAAAAATACCGGCCAAAATAGATGATATATGGAATTTAGAAAATATATATTTTTTAATATATTTACCAATATATTTACAAAATTTTATACTTAGTTTTAATATGTTTACAATGTTAATAGTTTTTAATTAATTTTAGTGTATATAAATAAACCAACTATCGTAAGTGTAGATAATGCTAATTGTTTGTAAGCAATGTCATAACATAATCGTCTTATTATTCTTAATAGTGATTTGTGCAAATAAGTAAGTTATTTTTTATTTTAGTATTTAAAGCCAATTCTTAATAGTGATTTGTGCAAATAAGTGTACCAAAAATGAAAAGATATGATAAAGAAGATAAATCCTTTGTAAAATAAAATAAAATAAGGAAAGAAGGATTTGTGTGATATTTAAATTTAAGACAAATTTGGTAATGAAAAAGAGATTGATTGGAGACAATAATGTATGATGGAAAAATTATTAATGGTACTTTCCAAGCCAATTTTGTTTCTTATTTTTTTATGAGAACCTAACTAAAAAGCATAACATTGTGACATGTAGTATTACAAAGCGTGAGAATCTGCCACTTAGGCTCAACACATTTTGAATTAATATATAAGAGGATAAGAAATTGAGGTGATTCGTAATTAATATGAGGAACTGGATTTTTATTGTGATAATTATCACAAAATAACTCTCAAAATTAATACCATTTTATTTATATAGAAAGTCATACTATTAACCAAATTTCATGATTTGCAACAATAAGGTATAATTTGATTTATTTTTTCAAAAATATTAAAGTATATTTTACTATATTTCCTTTACTAATAAGTCAATTTATTTAATTACAAAGTGTAAACTACTATTATAGATTATTCCAACAATATCTTTCAATATATATAAATTATTCTTAAAAGTATCAAAATTACATAAACTATAAAATAGATGGTTTTCAGAAACACAACTTCAGCCTTATGAGTACCTCCACTGTGTAAGTTCCTCTAGTTTAGGAAAGTTCCTCCCGTTTTACGGTTTTAAAAGTTCCATCCGGTGTGGAAATCATCTCTTCTCTCTTTTTCTTCATTCTTTCTCGTCTCTTAACTTAATCACCAAACCTGTTAGGGTCCGACCTTCGTTCGCCGATCTTTAAATCAATACTTGTTTTGCTTCTGAGGTGACTCATCTTGGGTATCTAACTTACGCTCTTTTGAGATTTCTATCTAAGTGCAGGGTTAACAAGATTTTGTTCATTTCGGCTACAATGGAGCAGGATATTATAGATAAGATGCATCGATTCGCGTTATCAGACAAAGGAAAAAGGGGTATTGGAGTAGCAAACAGTGATATTGAACCGGGGATTCAGGAATGTTCGTTGAGCTTAATTGGGAAAATTGTAGGTGACAAGAAGGCCAGTCTAGGAGGGTTACGAACAACGATGGGGATGGTGTGGAGAACGCTGCGACCTTTCTCAATCTGAATCATTGGAAATAATTTATTCCAGTTCCTATTTCAAACTGAGGAAGACAAGCTCAAAGTGCTCAAAGGGAAAGCCTGGACATTTGATGGGCATTTATTGAAAGAATGGAAACAGGGAGAGGTGGACTTTAACGATGAAGCACTTAATGTAGAGTTATGGGTGCAAATCCATAAACTACCACTACATTGGTTATCAGATGAGATAGGAGTGAAAGTTGGTCGACTCTTTCAAAAAGTATTAGATGTTCTATCACCAGGTGAAGGAGGTGGCCATGGCAAAATAGTGAAAATTCTTGCAGAAGTCAGTGTCATTGAACCGTTACCAAGAGGGACAGTGTTGAAATTGGGAAAGGAAGAACATTGGGTGAAGTTTCAATACGAAAATCTTCTATCCTTTTGCTTCTACTGTGGGAAGATAGGACATAGGGAGAGAACGTGTGAAGCTAAGAAAGAGGATATCCAGATATAAGCTCATCATCTTTTTCTTTCAATTTAAGTGGTTCTGTGGAAGGTCATGTTACTCCATCTAGAGGATTAAGACAGGGGTGTCCTTTATCCCCATATCTTTTTATTATTGTTTCAGAAGTTTTATCTAACCTTATCCACAGAGCTTGTGTACATAGTGCTTTTAAAGGTATCCAGATTAGCAGACACTCACCCACTGTTTCCCATTTATTTTTTGCGAATGATGCCATTATTTTTTGCAAAGCAGACACATATCATGCCCAATCTCGCTTGAATATTCTGAACCTATATTGTCATGCTTCTGGACAGGCCATAAACCTGCATAAGTCCAGTATTTTCGTCTCTAAGAATAAGAATGCTTCTGATCAGATAAAAAATAATATTTGCTCTCTTTTCAGAGGGGTGGCTATTGCTAGGTACTCAAAATATTTGGGGTTGCCTCTGGGGTTGGGTAGGTAAAAAAAAAAAGACACTTTCTCCTTTGTCAAGGAATGTGTGGTAGCTAAAGTCACCAACTGGAAAAATAAGTTTTTGAGTGAGGCAGGGAGGGAGATCTTAATTAAAACTATGTTGTCTGCTCTTCATATATATGTGATGTCAGTTTTCAGGTTGCCAATGGGGTTCGTAGGGATCTGCGTCAGCACATTGCAAATTTTTGGTGGGGTAAAAACAGTGAGGGAGGGAACAAGATTCATTGGGTCAAGTGGTCTAAAATTGCTCAGCCAAAGGCAGAAGGGGGTCTAGGTTTTAAAGTGTTTGAAGACTTCAATGAAGCTTTGATTGTTAAGAAGCTTTGGAGAGTGTTAACTAATCAAAATATCTTGATGAGCAGGGTGATAAAGGGGAAGTATTTTCACAATCAAAATCTCATGTTAGTCAAAAAGAGAGATAGTGATTCCTGGATGTGGAAAGGATGGTTAGAGGGTAGGAAATCTTTGAGTTTGGGGGGTAGGTACCAGGTGGGAAATGGGATGTCAATTGATATTTGAGATTCTCTTTGGATCCCAAATAATCACAATTTCAAACCTGCTTGTACATTCCAGGGGACAGGTAAAGACTAAACAAGGTGGCTGATCTATTGGATCCAGAAACTCAAGATTGGGATAGGGAGTTGATACAGGAAACATTCAATCCTCATGATGCTGAGTTGATCCTTAAAATCCAAATCAGTAAGATGGGCCTTAAAGACAAATTGATATGGCACCACAACAACGATGGGAAGTTTACAGTGAAGAGTGCATATCAGACAATCCAAAGGCAAAGGAAACACATGCTGCTGCAGGAAGGGAGCAGTTCAAATAACCAATCTACACAGTAGATGTGGACAAAGACTTGGAAGCTGCCCATAAAGCCAAAGGTAAAAAATTTCATTTGGAGATGTCTCCAAAATTGTATGGGAACTTTGCAGAACCTGGAAAAAAAAAGGAATGGCTGTTGATGGGGTATGTGGAGGGTGTGGTGAGGCAAAAGAAGATCTGGAACACCTTATGTTCAGCTATCCAAGAGCTAGGAAAGTGTGGAAGTTAGCTGGATTAGAGTGGAGTATATTGCAGCAGGATCAGATGGACTTTAAAGGGTGGTAGGAGGATATCTGTACCAGCAAAGGGATTAAAAATGGGAAAGACAGAATTTCACTTTCATCATATATTATGTGGTGGTTGTGGAAAACAAGAAACGGTTGGCTCTTCAATAAGGAATGGATTTTTGAGAGACAGGTGGGTGCAAAGGCTATAATGGAATGGCAAGAATATGAGGATATATGCAGGGTTCAGAACCACAAAACAAGGCAACTTCAAGGAGTATGGGTAGCAATTGATGCACTCAGTGCTAATGGAGTACTTGGGCTGAGGGGGATGATAGAAGGCAGAATATGGGTTATCAATGATGAGGTACAACAGGGAGTCATTTCTAGGAACACAGGTTCCAGTGCTCACCTACAATGTTCAGTGGAAAAGCAACTGATGGACCTGAGAAGATGGCTATTAGAAGGCAGGGGGAAAGGATGGTATAAGGTGGAGATACTCATAGCTGATACAAGATTAAGGAAGCAACTTGTGCAGAAGGATGGGATTGATTCGAAGGTGGCCATGATTGTAGTTGATATTTATGCCATGTTATCCTCTTTATCTAGTTGGGTATTTGTTGATAATTGGTAGACTTGATTTTGGTTTACAATAGATTAGTATATGACCTGTGTGGTTATGGTAGGGATGCTCGGTTGTGAGATCCCCTTGAACATTTTGTAACCCGTTGGTTATACGACTTGTATATTTCGAGCTATATATATGCAATTTGATGATTTGAGTAAAAAAGATACCANAAAAAAAGGGAATACATCCACTGCATTTTGGTTCCTTGATAAATAAACATTAAAATTAAAGTATAGAATACTCGTATAGCCTCCTTGAATTTTGTCTAATTCTCGGTGTGTCAACTTAACAAAGGAACTTCCAACATGTGCCAGTCACAATCTATTTATCATATACTCAGAGATATATGTAGCGTGAGAAATTTTTACATTAAATACGTTTTTTATGCTGAAAACACATGGATTACTGAGATTGAAAAGGAGACAATAATACAATATACATTATAGGATGGGACCGAGAAGAGGCATTTTCACATCAAAAGTTCCTATATATATATATATATGGAGTAGATAATTACCTCAATCAAAACAAGAAGAGCCTTCAAGGAGTGAGCAGTATCATTAAGAGCACTGCCAAGACTACGGATCTGACGTTCGAGTGCTCCTTCAGCCCCAAAATAAGCCAAAATTGGAGAGTTGTTTTTCGCGCCACCCCAATTTTTATCATTAATCACATATTTTTGCCTGAATGTGGTACCACTCGTGGGTCCATAATTGAAATGATCTAAGGTTTGTAGGTAAAAGTGAGTCTTATAATCTTTAGAAAGTGGGGCAGATTGATTGAAGAAAATGTGTTTGGACAATAGTTTTTGTTTATGAAGCTCATGAGACAACTTAATAGGTATCTTATGGTGTGGAAATGTGAAAACTGACTTGGTCCCCAACTCCAACTTCCCCGACACAAAGGGTCGAAAATGCGAGAGCCCCGTTCCACCCTTGAAGACCCGCACTCCTCCCCGCACCACCAAAAACTGCCGGAAATCCAAGCTCCAAAGTGCTCCCTAGAAGCCCCACCAGAAGGCAAGCACGACCGACCTGAACCACCAAAGACCGCGGCAATTCGAGGGCCTCTCTGGCAGCCCCACCAGAAGGCAAGCCCGACCGATGACACCGACTTGAAACAGATCGATGGACTAACCTTTGGTAATCGAATACCCATCGGCGGATAAGACTCCAATTGTCGACCCAACGAAGATCCACTGGCAGATCGGGGCTCACTATCACGAGACCCGACAGCAACCAAGGTCCGAACACTAATCTTCCAACAGCCACAACAAAGACGGAGACAGAGGCGAACAACAACAGGGGGTTGGCCGAGCGGTCAAAGGCGACCACTGGCCCTATCTCGCCGTCGCCGGGAAAGGCGGGTTGAAGATGGACGAGGCCCGGTGGATTTGGGGGATTAGGTTTTCTTTCGCCTTTTTCTTTCCCCTTAGGATTTCAATATCATCCAATTCATTAGTCAATATAATACTTAATTGTCTTTATTTTAGTACTTAATTAAATTAACAACAATCTATGTGGAATACGACTTTGCTCGCCACTACATATAGCTACGCTGTACACTTGCAAATAGCAAAAATAGTTAGCTATTGCCGGGAATTGTTTGTTAATTAATTAGTATTAGAAGAAGGCGAGTAGATATTAGTTTTGACATTTTTCATTTTATTTTTCTTATATTTTTTTTGTATATATTGTAAGCTTGATTTTTGTCTTGCGAGATTACAATGGTCGAGCAAGTGAAACTCATAAGACAACTCCAAGAGCATTTGGTGGAGTTGCAATGTCAACTGGCCGAGCAACAAGCCCAAACAGTGCAAGGCAACCCAATTCGATCAATTTTCCAACCGCCGACAAACCAATATTTTGGTGGAGGCCATGGACCAAGGATAGCGGCCAATACATTTCAATTGAGTCCCGAATTAATTCAAATGGTGCAATCAGAGCAGTTTGGGGGAGGTGAAACTGATGATCCGAACGCGCATCTTGCGTAATTTTTGGAGCTTTGTGGGACGATCAGGATCAATGGAGTGTCGGGTGACGCAATCAAGCTTCGCCTCTTCTCTTTTTCTTTGAGAGATAAGGGAAGATGTGATACAGTTCGTTGAGAGACGGTCACTTCATGGGATGACACGCATCGACAATTCCTATTGAAATTTTTTCCACCAAGCAAGATGTTAAGGCTTCAAACCAAAATCAAGGATCTTTTAGCCAGCAAAAAGTTTACATCCGAAAGGCTTATAGTGTCGCTCAGATAAGTTTGTCGATCACACAGAATTCGGTAGACAGTAATAGTCACTCTGTCTCTTTCGCTCAACAAGATGTGGTATGAATTTGTCATCCCCACTCAGATACCTTGGTCATTAGTGTTACTATCTTCAATGCCCCTGTCCAATGCATAATGGTGGACACCTTAGCCTATGCTAGCTACATATTTCTCGAAACCCTTATAAAAGTGGGTATCAATCTTGCTGAAGTATGCCTGGAACGATGTCATTAGAGATTCGGTGGGAACATGGTTCTCCCTATTGGCGAAATCACTTTGTCGATCTCTTTTTGCAACCGAGGATCGCCTTTCCAAACCATTTTAGAGAGCTTCAAGATAGTGGAGAAAATCATTGAATACAATGTTTTTATTGGCATACCAACTCTCTACAGCCTCAAAGCTCCCACATCCATCTACTATTACGCTTTAAAATTCCCCACTCTCCATAGTGAAGGTACTCATTACGACGATCAACACGCCACCCGTGAACGTGTTCTGGCGCTGTCCTCTAAAGAAATATTTGTTATTAAAAGAGAAGACTCCTCGTCAACATCAACCAGTCCATCCCAAGACGATAAGATAAATCTCACTCGAGATCGAGGTCGTTTCCTTGGGAATGAGCTATGTTGCTAAAAGAACGAACTGTCGATCGACCTCAACCAGTCAATTCCATCTGCATGGGCGAGCCCTTTTTCACCAAGTACTTGCATATAGGAAGGTATCGATCTCAATTAATCGATTTCGTCAAGAACAATCTTGATGTCTTCACATGGTCCCATGAAGATACAAAAGGCATCGACCTGGATGTTTCCATCGCCTCAATATCGAAAAAACGATTAAGGTGATCATCCAAAAGAGAAGAAGGTTCGGCCTCGATCGCCAACAAGATTTTGGAGCAAGAAGTCTTTATGCTGATCAACAACAAGTTCATCCGTGAACCTCAAGAGGGTCTCTAACCCGGTGCTTGTCAAAAAATCCAACAGCCAATGGCGATTGTACATTGATTTCACCGACTTCAATGTGCCTGCCCCAAAGATAACTATCCTCACATCGGTTACATGGTCGATGCCATTTCTGGTATTGAACTCAGGTACAATCAGATACCCATGCATCTTGATGATCAAGACCATATTGCCTTCTACTCAACTTGAGGTCTATATTGCTATTGGATGATGACATTCTTCCTAAAAAATGTTGGGGCCACCTATCAACGACTAGTAAACAAGATGTTCGCCGAACTGATAAGTGATACTATGGAAGTTTACATTGATGGACATGCTAGTGAAATCATTTTATGCTAGCGATCATGTTTCTCAGTTGAATACAATGTTTATTATTTTGTTACGGTATTCTATTATTTTAAATCCTAAAAAATGTACCTTTGGGCTAGGATCGGGTAAAATTTTTAAGCTATTTCGTAAGTCAAAAAGGGATCAAGATGAACCCGTCCAAAATTAGGGTGATCTAAGACCTATGTCCCCCTACTTCGATCAAAGAGATCCAAAGTCGTACTGGTCGACTAGCCGCCTTAAACCGATTCATTTCGAGATTGATAAATCGATGTCGACCCTTCTTTGAGGCGATCAAGAATGTATATATATGTGTGTGTGTGTGTGTGTGTGTGTGTGTATATAATTCCTTAATGTGGTGAGCCTAAGTGGCAGGCTCGGATGTTTCAAGATCCTATGTGGCAAAATTTCATGATTCGACATTTGGCTTGGATAGATTTTATAATTTACATTCAATCTAAATACAACTAAGGTTGGAATTATCCATAAATATATTAAATATTTATGACCCTTTTTATGACCATTAATTGTTGTTTAATATTGTTTTCTATTTTGGACGTGGTTTATAAGGCATGGATTTTTTCCCTCAATCTTTCTTTTCCCCTAATATTTTTATTTTTAAATTATAATGCACGTTACTAAGTTAAATTTAAATACATATTAAAAGTTAACTTTTGTATTTATTATAGTTTTATTATAAATTAATCACCTTTTTATTAGCTTTGATTTTACATCCATATTGTATATATGAATAATTAAATAATTATATTTTTATTTAAAAATAAAAATTAAATTATCTATTAATTTTAATTAAAAAATAAATTGAAGAAAATATTATAATATGAAATGATAAGTTGTATATGTGGCGGTGATCGTTTTAAATATAAATAATCATATAATTTTTTAAAAAGTATTTAAAATTTAAAAGAATTATTGTCTTACTTTTGAAATTTAAGTATAAATTTCTCAACAAGTACCCGTATAATACCAGAAATTCTATGGCGCCCATATGGGCACCATATGGTACCATAATCTTCACGATCTAACGCCTAATATTCATTGTGAAATTGATAGAATGGATATTAGGCGTTGGATTGTGAGATTATGGCACCATATGGTACCATAATCTTCACGATCTAACGCCTAATATTCATTGTGAATTTATAAGAATAAACTATTTACAAGTATGGAAGGGTTTTGTGTGTCATGTAATAAAATTTTATCATTTAAAAATTTTCAACTCTATTATATATATACTAGTACAATATCCGTGTATTATACGCAGAAATTCTATGGCGCCCATATGGGCATCATATGGTGTCATAATCTCACAATCCAACGCCTAATATCCATTCTATCAATTTCACAATGAATATTAGGCGTTAGATCGTGAAGATTATGGCACCATATGGTGCCCATATAGGCGCCATAGAATTTCTGACATGAGTACTCCCCACCGCATTCTGGTTTCTTGATAAATAAACATTAAAATTAAAGTATAGAATACTCGTATAGTATAGTCTCCTTGTATTTTGTCTAATTCTGTGTATGTGCCCGTCACAATCTATTTATCATATACTCATAGATATTTGTAGCGTGAGAAAATTTTACATTAAATACGTTATTTATACTGAAAAACACATGGAGTACTGAAATTAAAACGGAGACAATAGTACAATATATATATATATAGGTTCGGACTGAGAAGAGGCATTCTCCATGAAAAGTTCCTCTATATATAGGATCCAAAATATAAGAATTTATAGAGGTTAAATTTCATTTTAATTTATCCCAATAATTTTGGGGCAGTCACAATTTTTAATTAGTATCGACAACACAATTATTTATATCAATTTTAGTTCCGCAATTTCCATTTTCATATTTTTTTTTTATCATTTCCAGGACAAATTTTGTATGACGATTAATTCTAGCTTAATGAAAAGTCAATATATTATATATATAAATTATATGGAGTGGATAACTTACCTCAATAAAAACAAGAAGAGGCTTCAAGGATTGTGCAATATCATTAAGAGCAGCAGTAATATAGTTGATCTGATCTGCGAGTGCTCCTTCAGACCCAAAATATGCAATAATAGGTGAGTTGTTTTTCGCGCCACCCCAATTTTTATCATTTATGATGTATTTTTGCCTGAATGTGGTATCACTCGTGGGTCCATAATTGAAATGATCTAAAGTTTGTGGGTAAAAGTGAGTCTTATAACCTTTAGAAAGTGGGGCAGATTGATTGAAGAAAATGTGTTTGGACAATAGTTTTTGTTTATGAAGCTCATGAGACAACTTAATAGGTATCTTATGGTGTGGAAATGTCAAAACTGATTGACAGAATAATAACAAAAAAGTAATTAGGAGGGGATAAAATAGAAACACTGCCATAGTTAAGCAAGTGAAGAGGGAGAATTGGTAATGGAGTTTAAGTTTCTTTGCATTTTATATCTATATATAGAGAGAGGAATTAGAATTTGTATTTTGTTTCATTTAGGTGGAAAAGAAGAGCTTTTAATTGTTTAATTGAGGCAATCATGTTGTGAAATCTTCTCTATCTTTGTAGGCAGATTCTTTGGGTCTTTGTTTTCTATATGCTTAATTATATTATTAATCTTTTTTTTTTACATGAAAAGTTTATTAAATTCCAGAATTCCAATGTCAATCAATTTGACCCCATTTTTAAGAAGATAGAAAAGCAACTCACGATATTATATGAAAGAAAATAAATTTAGTCCATTGAGTTGGTTGTTTTTCATTTTATTTACTCGTTTTTTGGTCTGCAATTTCACAAATTAACTTTATTTTGTATCTATTTTGTAAAAAAAGGACTGAAGTTTTAATTGTATTGGTACGAAGTTGTTCCAATTCTAATTGGTTCTTTAAGTTGTTATGTACGAAATTCTTTGAAAAAGTGGATATTAATTTTTAAAGTGATAGGAGATGAGGACAAGCATATATTTTAAAATTTTTAATTTAATTATTTATTTCTTTTATATATGGTTAGTATTTTAGTTCTAGGTTTGTTCATAAAGTTATTTAATTATTCAAGTCTTTTATTTGGTAGGAAATATAATTAATTATCATTTACTTGTTAGACAAGATTAGAGTTTTTTAGGAGTTCTATTTAAAGATTATTATTATCTTATATCTTGAGTTTCAATCGGTTGAATTGGATTAATAAGATATTTGAGAGTTTTCCATTTTTTTTTTCTTTCTATCGTTCACGTTTTCGTTAAGTCAGTTGGTATCAACAGACTGTTGTAGTTTTTTAGCCGAGTACGATCGAAAGATCTCGCTCGGGTCGTCTTCTCGAAGGACGATTGTTCAGACACAAATTCGGACAACGATTGGCTAACACAAGAAAGGAAAGAAAGGTCCTAAACAACTCTACTCGCGATTTGGTGTTTGGATTGAATAAAAGGTAGCAACTTTAAACTAAATTGAAAGCAAGATTCGAAATTTAAAGCAAGCAAGACCTCAAATCTATATCTATATCTATATTAATATAAAGAGGTTGTTGGAAAAATACTTTTATAGTAAGTTTGACCAAAAAATAAATGGTTTGACTTACTATTAGTCAAAATTAAAAAAAAAAAAATTAAACACAAGTGAATCTTTAGGAATCAAATTTAATTTAGATATCCCAAAAAAATTGAAGATTCTTATGGTAACTAACAATTTGGAGATTCTTATGCCAAATTTTAATTCATTTCTTAAATATTGATTCCATTTTTATTGGTAACAAATTTGGAGATTTATATGCTAAAAAATAGAGATATCCCAACAATTATGGATTTTTTTCCATTCAAATTAGTGTTGTAAATCAAACAATAAATTATTTCGAGAATAAAGGATGATATAATAAACATTGATAAACTTCAATCCTCTATAAATTATTTATATTTAGAAATTTTGTGTGCAAATATATTGATTTGTTTTTCGTAAATAATAATAAATTACATTATTTTATGGCCTAACTTCTAATTTTTTCTTTTTTTTGGTGGTTTATATTCTTTAATTGAAATAACATATAACTTATTTGATTGAAACAACTTATTTTCCGTAATATAATCATAGAATGTAAAAAAATTATTAATTTACAAAAATTCACGACCTAAATATGAATATCTATTAATATATAAAAAGATAAAACATTTAGCTGAAATATTATATAAAATCCTGCCTAAAATTTTATAGAAATTCAAGTTTGGCAATGTTTAGCAAAAAAAAACATTGCCTAAAAAAAAGATTTACATCGGTATTTAATTGAAATTTGAGATAAAAATTCACATTACCTATTACAAATCCGTTTTGTTTACAGTGTTTCAATTAAAAGTTTATATTTATTTTGTACTAAAGAAACCTCTTAATTTTTTATAATAAGAAAGAACATTTGATTTATTAATATATAAAAAATTGTATTTAATAATATTTATATAAACAATCTTAGTTTAATTGTATAAAACAATTTAGGAGCTTCTAGATATTTTCCAGAATAGTTTTAAATGGACCATTTAAATCACACGGTCAATTTGGTGTGCATATGAGAAAAGAATCCAAATTAATATAAATGGTTCAAATTATTTTAGTGCAAGTTTTGAAAATTTCCGAGTACAGAATCGTGTGAAATTTTTTATTTCCGAAATTTATCTAACTACAACACCTTTTTCAAATTTGAATTCTTTCCATTACTTTTTGTACATTAACAATCGTAAATCGATTAATTGATTTTTAAGTAAAATCAAATGCAAATATTTTGAGTAATATCTTCTATGATACTGTATTAGAAATCTTCTATCATAATATTCCCAGATAATACTGTGTAATAACTTATTTTTTAGGCTGGAATACATATTATTTATGCATATAATATTTTATATACTTTTGTTTAGAAAAATTTATTACACATCTTATATTATATATTTATATGTTAAATTAAGTGTTTTTAAACAAAGTTTTCTTCCAAAATAGTTTATAAAAAATTTAAGCGACTTGACACATTTTCAAGAATAATATAGGATATTTTATGTATTTTTACATATATTATATAATAACTTTGGTTTTTTTAATATTTAAGTAGACATGTTTTATGTTCTTTTAGACAAGTTAATATAATGTATAGTTTTCAATAAACTAAAATTATATCAATTTAATGATAATTTTATTTTGAAACTTTTTCAAATAATTCCGCTTTTATTTGGGTTTGAACTTGAAAAATTCAAATTATTTTTATCCAATCTTACCGTTAAACAGATTGACCGTAAATAGGAGTCATTGTCAATCCTTATCTCATGTTGGCTTCATGTCGAGTTATATGTCAGCGTCTCTCGCGTAATTCTCTTCTTGCCTATTATGAAATGCTTAATATTCAATAATTATATATATATATATAATAAAGTTTTAAAAAGTTTTGAGAAACAAACCTCACCGTACATTGCACGGGTTGCTCATTGGTAAATATAAAAAGGTTTGGCATTTACCGAAAAAAGCAACTGAAATCCCGCTAAAATATTTCAGATTTACTATTATTAGTAAATTATTTGAGAATGGGCGGTATTTGAAAATTCGAATTTCAAAAGTCCAATTAAAATCTGTATAACATAGATTTGGTGATAAATTGCGGTGGGCAGATATTACAAACAGATAAAAAAAAAAAGAAAGAAAGAAAATCTTACCATAATACAATCAGTCAACAAATGCGGCAAATTCAGTCAAAAAAGGAAAAAAATAAAATAAGATTTTAATAAAAATCAATACTATAGAAAGTCTCTTCCATGATTTTAATAAGATTTCAGTTAAATTAATATGATCTACTCAAAGAAAATCTCTTCCATGATCTCCAAATTTCCTTTCCATAATTTGTTCAAATCACAATTATATCCTACACGTTTTGTTAGAAAAAACATAATCACAATTAATTGCTACATAATTTATTAGAAATATTTTAATTAACTACAGTTTCTGAAACAAACATTCAAAATTGTTTATATATAAATTTACAACTCAATCTAAAAATATTTATTACAAAATACCTTAATTAATGAGTGAGTTATTTTATGTTCAAGTCAATATATATAAAAATTATAAAACGTGTGTAGTAAGAGTATACATATATAACAAATTAATTGTTCAAATCAACATTATCCCTAAATCTTAGTAAATCATGGTATTGAAGGAAACATAATCAACAAGTTGAAAGAATTAATTCCCTGCACAATACAACAATACAACAATAAATCTAATTCCATGAAGCGGACAACTGAAAGAATCAATGGAATATTGTGTCAAATTGGATCCAATTGTAGGAAAAATTAGAGATTTAGTCCTGTAAGTGACCCAAATTGAGATTTAGTCCTCTCCGATACCCACTTTTGAAAAACGTCCCGTAAGTGCCAAAAATCGTAAGAAATTGTCCTCACACCAGCTACCATAGGTTATTCTTACCGGCTGCTGACATGGATTTTGATTTCATTTTTTCTTTTCTTTTATGCGCCACGTCGGGAATATAGATCGACTAATGCCTTAAATTAGAGGGAAAATTGCACACACACAAACCCTAATCGCTCAATCGGAAAAACTGTTGCGAGCTCTTGCGAAATTCTTGCCAAATTCGGGAGTCACAAATTTACCATGTCCTCGACGTTCAGTACCCCCAGGGTTTCTGTTGTAGCAAAATATATTTTTGCCGAGTACCGAATCGAAAGATTCGTTCCCCGGGTCGATCTCTCAAGGAAGACGGTTCGGAATCTAGGAATGGTGTTGATAACACATAAAAGAAAAATAAATCCTAAACACTCTAATCAAGATAGTGATTTTTAATTATCAACTATGAAAGAGAATTCAAACAATGCGAAATCAAACTTAAAAGCAAAGATGAAGATCAAAGGATAAGATGATAAGAAGCTAAGGAGTCGGGGACGATGATTTTCTAACCAATGCAAATATCAAGCTAAGATCATTCGGTTGGATGGTTCGAATAACCTAACGTCTAAAGACTAATCCTCAATAACTTTTCGTAACAAAAGGGTATCATAGACGGTAAATCATGCAAATCACTCAACACATAGACAATACGTTTCCGAACAAGTCTATTTCATACGAGCCTAGATCGATCAACTCCTCCCCTTTCGGTTCTAAGAGTTGATTAATTATCCTAGACGATTGTTAATCTACTAGTTCATTGGATTTAAAAACATCACACAAGAACGAATCATATTCAATTGCAAATCGAAGTGTCACTCTTCGACAATATTCAACATTCAATGCACGAGAATTATAAACCCTAGTTAAGCACAACTCGCATAAATTGAACGATCAACAAGCAT